CATGTTCATGCCAGCGGGAGGTCCCCCGATGGCTCCCATTCCCATGCTCATGGTGAAGGGATGAAAGTGAGACTTCACAGGATTATTGGTATCGATATGGGTTAATATTTATAACTCAATAGTCGGATTATTGAGGTGTTGATTGAGTTTGATGGTGCAGTGCAGTGTAGCGTAGCGTGGTTGAGAGGTGGGAGGTGGTGTTGCTTCGGTTGCTGCTGTTAGGGGAAGAGGCGAAATCTCTCTCGGTCGCGATGGGCGATGGCAACAAGGTTCGATCAGCCACACTTTTTTTTCTTGGGGGGAGGCGAGCGGCAAAACCACGACCTTGTCGAGACGACGAAAGGTACAGCAACGCCTGCTGCACGAAAGAAAGAGCTGTGTATGTGTACGTGCAGGTAGAGAAATAAAGCGAGAAGCGAGAGGTAAAAAAAAACAAGATCGGTGTTGTAAAGCGAGAGTGTGAATTTACGCGAGAGAGATGAAAACGATGGGAGAGCAAGAGAAATGCAGGGACTACTGGTAGGGGGTGGGGGGTGGATGATAACCAGTGAACTTCTCTTACAGTAGATAGAGGCTGGGGAGGAGAAGTTGTGTGTGGTGGTTTAAAGGTATGGGGGTGGTGAGTAAGGTAAGTAAGTACTGTTGCTTTGCTGCTGTGGTAAGTAAGCGAGGAGAGACAGACAGAAGCTGCTACCGCGGGCAAGAGCGGTCGAGGGCGGATGCTAGCGCTAGGCTATAAACTATAGAAATTCAATATAAAATGCTGTAATCCACCAGTGCGTATTCCTCACTGTTCACTTCTCACTTCTCCTATAGCTTCTGCTGTTGCTTCTGTGGGCAATAGTAGTAGCAGTAGCTGTTGCGATTGTATTTTCGCAACGCAGAGACGCGAGTCGCGAGAACAGAACGGCGATGTTCGACAAGTGGGATCGCCAGGGCGAACGGTGCGCACGAGAGACCTGGGGTGAGCTGAGTCGGATTTGGCAGGTAAAGTGTGCCGCGAGGGGTTGGAGGGGGGTAAGTAAGATGTACGTAGTAGGGTACGTAGGTAGTAGCAGTAGCAGTAGCAGCAGTAGCAGCAGTAGCAATGGGTAGTAGTAGTAAATGAGCGGGTTGGCCGCGGGATCGAAACCCTCCCAAATATGATGGTTACTACACCTACTGACTAGAACACCACCCCGTTGCTGCTACGGTATTTTGAACACCCCAGGAGAACAAAAAAAAAGAATCAGTCCCGTGTTTGCTGGGTCTGTGAAAGTGGCCTGGTAATGAACGGAATGGTCCGATAGAAATTCTGACAATTTGGACCTTCTCGTTGTAACGTAGATAGATCTAGAGGTAAAAGTAGTCCCTCTCCCTCTCTCTAATGTATGTAGTAGTGGGATTTCTTTGGTGAAAATAGGGTATGAGAATGTCGTGCGAAGCTCAGTTCAACTCTACCCCTTCAAAGACAAGAAAATAAAATAAAAATAAAAATAAAATGGTAAGTGGGTGAGCTGTAGTTCTTGTGGTATCTAGCTCTTCTCTTCTCTTGGATGTCTGGTAGGGCTGCTCTGCTCTTCTCGGTTCGTTCAACAATAACGACAACGCAGACACGACACGGGGGTCGGAAAAAAGAGGTTGGCACTGGCAGCAACGCAAGCACTCTGTCAAGCAAGCAGTACCAGCAGGTTGTCGAGCAAGAGGCAGCGGGCGGGCGGGCGTGGTGGGAGGACTGGCAACGCAGTACTATGATGGGTGTGGCATGGGTTAGGGTTGTAGTGGATGTGTGGGAGCAAAAAATTAAAAATCCGGGTGGTGGGGAGCCAAAGAGATCGAAAATGATCAGGGAAATAAGGGATGATGGCAAACCCGATTCTAATTCAACTTACAGGGGGGGCTTCACGTTGATAATTGTATCAATGGGTACTGAATTGTTGGTCAAGCCCAGATAACTGTTCCACTTATTATAAGCAACGGGTTTGTGGTTGAAAGAGAAGAATATCTACAAGGGAAGTCGCGAGGATCTAAGGGTTGACGGAAGAGAGCAACTGAGAGATGTGCGCTGTGCAGAAGATGCGCACGCGGAGGAAGATCTGCTCCGTCAATTCAATCCATCGCTTCACTTCCAACTAGACCTGACCATGAAAAAAGATACGATTGCGCGCTGGTACGCGTGCTCCTTATCCTCAGTACGAATACACAAGACCTGGACAGAGGAAACGTTAGGAGAGGGGAAACATGGAACATCTCGAACCCGATCGATCATGTGCTCAATATTACTGCATACATATGTAACTACACACTCCCTCTCTGTTTTTATAAGTCTTTGCTCCATCAAGAGCACGAGATCGAGGTGAAGAAAGTAAATAACTTCTCCAGAGATTTGGCTAATATTATCTTGAATGTAAAATCACCGCTTCGCGGGGGTGTTTTGCTAATATATGAATCACAAAGAGTGGGAGTCAGGTCACTATGATTCTGAGTGGGCGAGTAATGTAGGCTCACCTCCACCACCACCACGAGACTCCCTCGTGATAACCTCGTCCACCTCGCGTAGCATGCACGCCAATAGCAATAACGAAAATTGAGAAGAAACAGAAACAAAAGCGCATACAGTCCAATGATCCAATAATAAGGCATCCTGTTACTAATACTCAACTGGTTTGTGGCTGCTCTAAGGGGGTTTGTTGCCAAATGTCTATTAATTGAGTAGTGGCCCAATCCATTGTAATATTTCTACGGTACACCTCAGTCTTCACCTGGAGGCAACTCATCATCGATGGTCCTAATGAGGGTGACTCGCATCTCAGTCACCTCATTACCTCGAAGAACATCACTTACAAAATGTGCATCAACCTGCATTTGTACCTATATTCCATAAATCGCCATCATCCATGCCGAGTCAGCCTACTGTTGCTTAGATTTAAGTGTAATATTATATCATGAGAGCTCCAAGTGAAAGAAAGCAAAGAGAGAGGAAAATAAGAAAATGCAAGCTTAAAAGGCTTTTGTCTGCTCCGTCACGTATATGTCCCAGATTTAGAAGAAGGCAGGGGTAACTGACCATTTCCAAGGAGCCTCTCAGGACCCCACACAAAAGATTTGAATACCAGAGCTCGTTTTGTGCCCTCCCATCATCCGGTAGCTCGACGAAATCCGCCAATGGGTTCTCCTCAAAGGTGAGTGAAAATTGCTTCCCGTCTGTCGTCCAGTTTGTTACAGTCGGTGTTATATTCAAAAACACTTTGAATCCGATCTGCATATCGCCACGTAGCAGACTGTCAGCAAAGCTTTGTAAGGATGGAACATTCCCGATAGTGTGGCGGCCGACGGATTCGTTTCATTCCGGCCCCAGAATATCTAGGAAGTTTGATATACCTTTGAGATAGTCTCAGCAGTCTCTTTGAAGTTTATACACTTCCCCATATTGGTTTTTGCCAGAAAGTCCTCGATCAATCGCAGTCCAATGTTATAACCCATCTTCTCGAGTTGTTTATTTACTTCGATATAATCGCCCTCATAATCTTTGCAGAGTTGAGCGACGATAGACCCGTAAGTTAAGGTGACTAGTTCTGCGTTCTGTACAGAAGAATCAGCTTAACAGTCCGGTTCCGTTGCTAGCCACTAGTTGCATGGGGTGAACGGGCAAACGAACCACTTTGTCGATACGAGTCTTCCATACTCTGACGAAATCCGTCAGCGTTTATTCCGGCGGAAGCGAGCTTCGAGGGGCTTGCTTACTCTTCGCCGATGCGGGCAGCTTTGTTCGCTGACATTGTGTTGCGTGGGTCCTCGTGAGCGAGGAGGGGTGAGATGGGTTAGTTGTCTTTGAGTTTCGTTATCGTGGGAGAAGCTTGCTTGAGAGGTTCTGGCAGCGTGAGCTGCCAAGACAATAGTGTAGGTACTGCTGAGTTTGCCAAGACTGTGTGCTCATGCCTCGTGAGCTACCTACATGTACATGTATGTACCTATTACCTTATCTGGTGATCCTGAAAACCCCTTACTCCCTTAGCGGGTTATACTACAGTAGTATTTAATAATGATCCCAATGTTGAAAGACTCATATTTATAGATCTGACAAAGGGATATGGTGAATTGCTGGGTTACGAAAACGTAATTTCGAGTGTGCTAAAAGAAGTAATAGTGTTTGATATTCGTATTAATATGAATAATCTAGATCTTATCTGAATAGTGGAAATCGCTACAACTTAGATCTGAAGTCCATAGTCCGTCGTCATCAACAACCCAACATGAACTAGACGCAATTGGTTGTTTCAAAGCAATGAAACCGGGTGCATCTACGCATGGACTATTTGAAAACCTCTCATGAGACGCATCTAGAAGATCGATTGATGCTTTATACTCAGGGCTTAGGTGCTTTGAAAAATATCTCTCGATTGGAATTATATGTGGTCCAATGAACTGCTATTGGGACATCAGTTCCACTAGATGGCGGTATTCCATGGGATGAGTTGACGAGACTGACGGTTATAAGTCAAAAGTGCTCAGCAAGACACGTGATGGCGACATATGAGATTAGAGCGGAATCACGGTTAATCGCAGGCCAAGCTTTTCGGTCCGTTCCGACATGCCTGAGTCACCGTCACCGTCACTGTCTCGCAACCTTCTAAGTAGATAGTTGACTTCCATTGGAATATAAAGTATGTACATGTATGTACATATCTATGACCGTGTTCTCACTAGTAGTGTGAATCTGAGGGTTAAGGCACCAATAATGCACAATATCCAAGAGTTCACAGTCCACATCTATTCTCAAAACAGATCTCGCTTCTAATCTTGGCATCATTCTCTAAGTCTGAGAAAACAAGCTTGGGGAATCTTGGTTGTATAAAAATTGTTAATCCTAGAGTATACAAAACGAATCACAAGAAGAAGGGGCGAACATTTATGTGCCAAAGTCAACATACGCCAGGACGAATCCCTCCTGAATACCCGCTATAAGCGAGACTCGGCCAAGAAACGCCCACAGTGAGGCCGAAGAAGTATAGTAGCTAGGGCTAATAGCGGTATCTTGTACTGTAGTCCTTCGGGCTGACGACGAGACCTCTTCCTTTTCTTGCTCCCTTATAGATAGTCTCGATCTAGACACAGCACATTAGTTCTATAATAGAGCTTCGCTAGTATTTGTAGTTAAAAAACAAGGGTGATATACAATATCGATTAGTTCCTGCTTATCCTCCAGTACCCAATTCATTTTGTTGTTGTTCCCGGTTCCAAAATCGCACATCATATGCTTATTTCTGAAGAAAAACATGATTGTCAAGGGATCGTAAAGCTCGTACCTACATAGTAAATAGTAGTTAGTTTGTGTGATCAGGCCACCTAAGCTGAGGGAGGGAACGAACATCTTGTTGAAATCAGGGACTTCATCAATATCGCAAAGATAGATGACTGCAAAGTTCTTGACCTTGTCCGCAATGCGATACAGCATCTCATCTTGTCGCATGCAATCAGGATCCCAGTCGCGGCCGAAGCGAATCACGACCAGACGGTCGTCTTCGGACATAATGGCTTGATCGACATGCCAGCCAGTCTTGAGATGAGGGAGGACAACTGAACCCATTTCTGAACAGTGAAATCTTTAGGTCTTGTGGATAGAGGAGCAGGTGTTGGAGGTGATGGATGGGACCTGGGCTAGGCTATGAGCTGGAGAAGTAGTCTAGCCCCAGTTTACATGAATCTCGTAACCCTAACCCTGAAGAGATATCTTCTTGGCACCATGCCTAACCCGAAGTATATACATATGGGTGTCGATCTAGCAAAAGGTACCTGTGTGGCAACGCAACGAGGCCTCACCTGTTCGCTACCGCACTGTACAGCCTCTAATTGATGGGACAAATGGTTGAAAAATTAATTCTGGGCCCTCACCAAGGTTCTCTGAGCTTTAGGAAGATTTGGAATTTATCCGTTGTGTGGTTCTTCGGAATAAGGATTTGGCTGTGCGGACGGTTCTGCTAGATCGACACCCATATGTACTTGCAGTATTTTTCTTGTGTCCTGCAAACCTATTCTTCTTGATATGGAAGAGTCGCAACGCGTTAACGACTTCACCTCAATACCATGGTATTAACAGGTGCACTGTAAGCCAGTGTAGTATTTGAGTGTTCGGATGGCCCAAGTTATTGGCTTTGATACCATGAATACGCCACAAAATACCATGGTTTAACAAATACCTCTAGAGGTATTTATTTCCCGTTGTCTCGTATCTTCATGCCTCTACCCAACAATATCTCAACTCAATCCGAACACTTTTGTCTTTGACGAATAGTTACTTGGTTTTATCTCAGAGCATGATACCATGCAACCGAATTTGAATTTACCACAGTATTGAATACCACGTCCGTCCGAACAGAGCCGAGGTTTTAGGACCGTTGCTTCGTCTGAAGATGTAGCACTCCAATATTTCCGGATGAGGAAGAAAACAACTGGACACAAAAGAAAATTTGGCAATCACATGTAAGTATGTACATGTACATACATACATCTAGTTTAAATACGCGTACGATTGTCAATGTTTTGATTATATTTTGTTAGGAGCATTACCGCAGTATAGGGCTCGGGTAGGAGCATGCTTTATAATCTACGACGCAGCACGAGTGATGGTATGTGATTAAAGCTTCATGAGTACATGCAGTATCTACAACATTCTACGTGTATGATGTACCTACATACAAAACCTATCATAATTCCACCCCCGTGGTGGCCGAATTTTGCGGGAATTATCGTAGGGATAGAATTGAGAGAGAGAGGTATTTGTTAATAAACTACAGGTATCGTTCCCTCCATCTGCTGGAAGTTTGGTAGGGATGGAATTTCGAGAAGGTGGAATTATGATAGGTTTCTCGGTACCATACATACATGTAGTCTTATTTTTGGCACAAAGCTCCTGGAACATTGCGAAAACCAGGAAATTTCCAAGCGTATTTACCGATGTGATTCCTTCGTCTCCAAATTCTTCATCAGATCGAGGCGGGTAAATCCAGACGGCCAATGAATTTTTTTCCTTGTCAATAACTTTGCCGCATCCTGGAATTGAAAATAGGTCATTTGCTTCAAAGCACCTGTGTTCTTGTAGGACAATTATAAGCAGCGACCGTGGTTGCTTAATACATATATGTAGTTGTCACTCGGCAGTTTCGATATCTTTTGTGGCGCAGGAGCGAGCTGCAGACGGATAGGCGGGACGGTTGATATTGCATGGAGAGCTAGAGTATAGTAGCGCTAGCTCTGTACATACATCCGGCTCCTTACTAAGTTTTGAAAGATGGAACTTTAACTGCATCTAGCTGATAAATTGAAAAGCTTGTTTACTCTGTAGGACTCTCATGAATCATGATCAGGTGGATATGGATTTGGGGACTTGGAAGCGCTGCTACAAACCACAAACGCTTTCTGTCCCTCCTTCCTTCCCGGCTTTAAGCCTCAAAGCAACATTAACCCCTGAAAATAGTGCCTGCAATTCTTGTGTATACTGTAACTACATATATACCCGTAGGTACATGATGTGCCTACAGTATCTATAATAGATAGAATACATGTATTAATACGTAGTGAATATTAGAAAGAATCTCTGCCTATAAAATATTTAGAAAGTACGCATATGTTAATTACCGCGAGGTACTTGTTCATACAAGTATTGATATCAATGCGGGGAACACAGTCGAATACAATTGTTGATTCAGTAACTTCTTGTGAATGCTATCTCCCCTGGATAGTGGTGAGTTGCTGCGCTGTTGGGTAGCACAATTTAGGCTACTTCAGGGCTGATTGGTGGGGCGAGTGGTGAAACGACCCCAAACGATCAAAACCCCTGACGCTCCATGCATGAGCACCCATTCCGTGCGAAACTATGAGAGGTTCTCGAAGAACTATTTGGAGGGCATATCAAGACATTGATTATCGATTGGCTGTCGTCTGAATTCACAAGTGACGACGATGACGATTGAGGGGATGATCATCTTTGGGCACGAAAGAAGTGGGGTGGGCCTGAGATGGCTCTCGATGGGTGGTAGTTGGGGACAATATTACCAGGTCCCATAACGGGCGGTTAATCATGTAGTGATCTGAATCTAGAGGATCCGTCATCCTCCCAAGACCGAGAGATCTGCCAGTGCCTGGATCCTGATTCTGCTTCATAATTGTTCTCCTACTGTTTCCTCCGTTCCTCTTCCCATCCCACCTACATCACCAATGCTCTGGCAGTCTTTGTAGCGGAATGTATCTCTAGATTTACCCCGGCTTATTCACTCCTTAAGTACCACGCTTCCTTCGTCTCACTTGCGCCGTTTCCTTGTATTTTTAGGGCTTTTCAAATTCTTTGGGTCGGTTCGAGGATATCCCCTGTCAGCTGCTTCATTTCCCTCATTTCCCCTCCCCCGTATTCTTCTCACCACTCTCTACACACATTTCCTTTTCTCACCTCAAGTTTCTTTCTTTCTCTCTTTCTTTCTCTTTCTCTTTCTCTTTCTCCTTTCCTTTTCCCTCGACTGCAAGCCAGTAACTTGGCCTGAAGACCATTTCAATTGCCCCCAAGTCAGTCTTGGGGATTTGAGGTTTTCCTTTCTTTATTTTCCTATTATATTCGAGCTGGACTGTGCTACCACCGGCGGCAGGTTCTGCACCACCAAATTATTGCTTTTGGCTCTTTTCGTTGGATCCGTTAGGAGGAGTTGCGTTTTTCTGTTTACTTATTTATCATATCTTTGACGTTTCCGGAATTCGGTCCAGATATTTCCTTAAAGCAGGGCTGATACAAGAAGAACACATTTGATTCGCAACGTCCAATATTTCAAACCCAGGATACATTTGCGATAATCAACATGGCTCGCCCGTTTTCAAGAATCGCGGAGAACCAGGAATCAGGTGCGGGAAACCATATTTTTGGGAACGAAGCCGTGCAAGATGGTGGATTGGTAGCCGGGAATGGGATTGGGAATGGGATTGGGAATGGCGTTGGAACTGGGGTTCAGGCTGGAGTGCGCAGCTGGTGGAGTAACAGTAGAGGGGAAACAAGGGGAAACAGTAACGAAAGCGTTCCGAAGCCATCTTCGCAGGGAAACGAAATGGTTACTGTCAGCTCGAATTTTGCTGGCCTATCTCCAGTTATTACCTCTGGCCTTTATGATACACCGGTTATTGCTTCACCTTTATCACCAAGGGCAGTGTCGAATTTAGTTACGTTTGCGCCAAATCCACAGCAAAACTTGCTAAATTCACGACCTCTGGAGAGGCCCCAGCCTACAGTAATAAGGCGTTCAGTTTTTATGCCTGGGAATACAGCTATGCAGGAGGCAGTCCAAGAATCACAGGCGCCTATAGATGTCGAAATACAGCAGCCACCAGCTGGTGAGGTTGGCAAATGGTGGCAGAGAGGATCACTTAAAGGGCTGCAGTCGAAATTGATTACAGTTTTGGCGGCCGGAGGATTTCTGGCCATCACTCTAGCAATTTGTCAGTACATTGTCAGTAACTTTAGATTTTCCATTTTACTAACGATTTCAACGTATAGATCTCGGCTTAGCACTCACAAATGATCTTAGGCTTCGCCATGAATGGCATGTGTTGCTGATCCTGATAATATTAATTGCAACTATGTTCTTTTGTCACGCTCTCGCGCGGTTGTGTATATTGGCAACGAACCCTGCGAGACTGCAGAGAAGACCATCCCGTAACTTTTCCAGGATTCCTTCAGTATCTGGACCAGATGGGTATGCAAACCCACGGGAGCCAATTAGGATACAAACAACCTTTGATCAAGATGTTGACGGCGTTGAACCGGACTTAACGAAGCTACCGCCACCAGTCTACGGGTTGTGGAGGTGCTCGTAAGTGATAAACCTACCATTAAAATTATAGTGGTGCTTTGTTAACATCTTAATAATTTAGTGTGAGAGTGAACCCGAATCAATTTTATTGGGTACGAAGAACAAGCGTGCAGCAATCTACAATACCTGAAGGTAGAGAGCCAATAAGTCCTAACAGTCACAGCACACCACGGCCGCCATCCTACGTTTCCGAAGATGGTGTTTCATATGCATTAGCCGTGGAAAATGCATTATCGCCCGCGAGACCAGAACCACCTTTACCGCCACATCCATCGGAAGTTAGGTGGTTACAAAACCGCTGGTAGTCCTGAGTTTACCACTTCTTTTTCTATAAATCGACGATTTTCCTTTTCTCTTTGGTGCCTTTGAATCATGATTTCTTTTTTTTGGAAGGCTGTTTGTGTATTATGCTTACGAGTAGGAGGTGGTTATCACGAGTTACAGGTTTGGCTGGTCAATTGTATTTGAGTTTTTTCTTTTTTTCTAGGTGTTAGTACTCTTTTCTCTATTTTATTTTCTTAAACTCTGTTTACAATGTTTTTATTCTGTATACTTATATTCCTTTCCACTGTTCATTCTGACCAAGCTGTTTCTATTTGGTAAATATTTACAATCTATATGGCCGGGTTCATTATATTATATACATGTAGAGTTAATGATGGAAGTAGCGAGTTTTGACACCAGGCCAAACAGTACACGTAAATGTGTAGATACATGTAGCTTCTGTCGAGGCTAGAGGCGGTAAAAGCAAAGATCTAGAAACTAGTTACATACGTAGATATGTATACAATCAGTGCTGAAATGTACGTACTTGAGTGTGTATACTCACACGTTAATTAAAAGATTGGAATTCTGTGTGAAGATTTGGTTGCAACGACTTCCGACCTTTTAATTAACGAGTGAGTATATACTTTACTTATATATTATCTACGTTTTTATATATAAAATTATAATACTCATAATCATGGCTCATGTCACTTGACTCAAATCTCGACAAATATCAAGGACTTATGCGTCAGCTATATTATATATATACATGTAAGTATGCCATATGAGGAATCATCTGTATGTCAAGCTGGTGTGAGGCATTCTTGGTGATCAGCGGTTGGTCTTGCGAGTGATACCCTGTGATGGGACATGCCCTTTTTTGTTTTTTTTTGTTTAATTCATTAATTGATGGGACATGCCCTTCAGGGTTAAGCCGACATAAAATCACAGTATTACTTACATGTAGTCGTCAATCTGCTTTGAGCTCTCGTTGAGCCAAAGCATGATGATCGCTAGACAGATTCTATCTGCAGGTGGGCAAAGAGAAAGGTACGTGATGTAGTTATCCGGGTACTTTGATATCAACGAACGCCAACAAATGATTGCTGGAACGAAACTACTTCGACCCGGGTAGCAAAAACAGTCTCAATTAACTATGATGATCAGGTATATATATCCAAATCATCTTCAGTGGGAATATTACTTAAGAGCGGCAAAGCCGCAAATCCAAAAGCTGTAAGTTCAAGAATTAAGGAGCGCCTTCGAGTACTTACGGAGTACGGGCCATAATTCTTGAATTAAACTCACACTACATAGTACTACTTCACTAGGGTGTTGCTAAGCATAACGTAGCTCCAGTACTTAATGGGACACGTCGATTCAGCTTCTAGTAGATCACCATATATACCTATGATCAGCATCTTATCCGATTTCTGGGGATTGTCGGCCAAAGCATTATAGTACTATAGTACTACCCGAAGCTAGTATATACAACCCTTATATATATGTAGACTAGATGAAATTCTCGCCACAGGTATGTGTAGGTTTCTCAAACCCGCAACACAACGTTAACGTCCCCACCCTTGAAGAAAAATTTCAGAAATTTGACCCAGAAACCGGCAATATGATATATTAGAATTTGCTTTAAAAAATATTGTTTGGTGAAAATCAGTAGTATGAGGATTCAGTTCTGAGTCAGCAAGCATATTTAGAATTTCGCTTATGATGAATGAAACAGCTCTTAGTATTGATCTAGATCAGTCTCCTTGCGAATCCAATTGTTTTAAGATCCGCAAACTAGACAGATTCCCAGTTGGTTTTTGTCAGTATTTTGACCCACAGTATAGCGAATGTTCCCCGACACATTTGGAGAACTTAGAAAATCTTTATATATATCAACTTATCTATGTCCTATAAGCTCCACTTAGATACCATTCTTGGCCCCAATATAATATTTATGGTACTTCGTGAAGCAATATCCCTTATTTTGGAATTAAAATCATGTCATGAGAGGTCACTCACCTAACTATTGTCATAACATTCATATATAATCACTCGAACGCCAAGCGCACCCTAGAGGACAAAGTACTGGATAGCTCATCCCCGGAGGCAGGATACTGTTTTCATCTCCGCGAAGTGGGATATGATATCCTGCAGTAGAGGGATGACCAATCCTCTCAGGTAGGATGTGATATCTTAACTATTGGGTACTACCCTTCGATTTGCTGGATGAGATATCCTTTTTCACCGGGATATGATAAGATATCCTTATCTAAGGATTGGGGGTGGGCATGTTCTGACTGGTAGGGGATAACATCAAGAACTTAGGTTTAAAAAAATGGAGCTTAGGGGAATTGAACTTACACCTTGCCGATTAGGTATAGCAGATGCTACTAACTATACTATTGGTTCAGATACAAATCTAGTACAAATTGTCGCTATCAGCCTCAGGTTTAAAAATTCGACAGCCAAAAAAAAATCAGATTTATCTAAGTCCAAAACTACTAGGGAAGCGAAATACTACTAGCAGGAGAACACTTTATTCTGTTTGAAAATTCGTATCCTTCTGAGAGGATATAAGATTATATCCACAGGAAAAGATAAGCTATCCCTGAATACAGTATCCTATGGTAAAGATATGTATCCCCTCTACAAGATGAGCTGAAAAATATATCCCTCGGCGGAGATAGTTTATCCAAATAAGAGCGAAATCTCCTATTTTAGCTACTTGATGTTTGGGGATCCCAAAACGCCCAAATGTCTCAAACTTATCCTCCCACGGGATAACCTATCCCGATTTTCGGGATATGCTATCCCGATTCCTAAGAAAGTTTGTACCCTAGGGGCATTAAGTATAAGAATCACTACTCTAATTGGTTATTGCGTTCCATGTTACCGGAGTGTGTAGAGCTATCAGTTACTACATATAGTGTTGTAAAGAAAAAGAACAACATGCATTAAGTGTCGCATTGGCTGAGTTTATAATATGCATGTGGGATTGAATGCAGGCTTTTCATTTTATTGATCAGGTCGAAGTGAGATTTGAGGCTTGAAAACATGAGTTAAAAAATACCGTAGCTTACTACTGTTAGAGTGACAAATTTTGAGGATATGGATATTGTCGGGATAAACTCTATAAAATATCTTTGAGTTATAACTATATAGAAGCTATATGTATGTTTATAGGCTCGTCCCCAACCCCTCTACTCCCATGCTTCCAGGTAGGGGATGGGTACGAGACTAGTATGTTTATGAGCTGGGCGCTAGACGGTTTGCTGTTAGCAGAAGCTGGCCCAGATGATCGAGTGACTATATATGACGCAATCACCACTGTAAGTACTATACCTCGCTATCCCTTCGTCTAGTAGGCTGACCATTTTTTACACGGGCCAAAGGCACCACAACAAATCCCGAAAAGAGATTAGCTAGAGATTGATTTAGAAATAATATAATTAAAAATTCGTTAGCACTAGACATAGCTACCCTTTTGGCCCCTACAAAAAAGTAGTCAGCATTTCATGCAAAACGAAGGGATAAGAAAGCCTTGCTCTAAGAAACAGCGCGTAGTGTAAACGCTAATGTCTCTATACCAAAATATTACTTGCCATAAGAGATATTAGGGACGATTTGCTGTGTATATAGGAAACGAAAATTGCCAGGACCTTAGCGTGTACATAGCTGTGTGTGAAATCTTGGCTCACGTGACCATTAATTCATGCTACTACAACACCCTGTAAAAAAAACCTTTGAGCCTCCTTCTATTCCTTCACTCAACCGACAACAAGTCAAAATGTCTAAAACACCCACCAAAATAAACGAATATCTCGTCCTTCCCATAAAACTTCCGGACAGAATAGTGGAATCAACTTTACATTATCTTTATCTCCGCCGACACGCACCTAAAGTCGCTACGCCTGGCGATTCGAGGTCATTATTTGCCGTTAATGTTCCAGTCGATTCAACAGAAGCACACCTGAGAGGACTGTTTTCGAGAATTGGTGGTGGAATGGTTGATAGCGTTGTCTTCGATGGGGAGGATAAGAATAAGAGAAAAGAGGAAGCTGCACCCGCAGATTCAAAGAAGCGGAAACGTGTTGACGAGGCAGATGTTGAAGCTGCCGCTACGGTAACGACATGGGATCGGGAGCTAAGAAGATCTGGCTCAACAGCAGTAGTGGTGTTTGTGGATAAGGCGAGCGTTGAAATAACACTAAAAGCTGTTTCTAAGGCGAGTAAGGTCAAGAAGCAAGGTGAAGTCCCAGTTTGGGGAGAGGGCATCAGCGATGCGAATAAAATACCGGCATTAGGGATATCACGTATGGCAGCCATCCATCAAAAGAATTAGGATTTGATTGCACTAAAGCTGACATATAATCTATACCCTATAGGCTACTTGACACATCACAATCTTCGTTTCCCTTCCAAGACAGAATTGCAATCTTCAATCGATGCCTTTATGACTGTTTTCAACGAACAAGAGGCCGAGAACGCCCGTGCCCTAGCCCGACGGAGACAGGAGCCTGATGAGGATGGTTTTATTACTGTGGTTCGAGGAGGGAGGGTCGCTCCCGCTCGACAAGAAGAGGCGGCGGCTCTTGCAAAGAAGAAAGAAGAGAAAGAAACCCCTAAGAACTTCTATAGATTCCAGACCAGGGAGGTCAGGAAAGAAAAACATCAACAGTTGCTGGCGAAGTTCGAGATGGATAAGAAAAAGGTCGCCGAGAGGAAAAACATGAGGAAATTCAAGGTAAGTGAGCTCTCCTCCTGGTTCGGAATATAAACTGATGTGGGTCACTTAGCCGTTGTAATGATTATCTGTAAAGAAAAAGGAAAAAAAAGGGAAAAAAGGAAAGAAAAAAAAACTTGTGATGTGGTGTTTTGGATGCTAAAACTTGTATAATTCAATTTCCAGATTTAGGAAAAGTAACATTATCTTTAATTTCTTTGAATTTTCGAACTCAGATTGTCTAAAGGTTGGTGTTAAAAGCCTCCTCCGCAAGTGACCATACCCGGAAGGCTGCATGTGCTAAATGGGTGGGTCGGTTCCTCCACACACAATAAATGAATCAACAATATAAACCATAGCCTTCGGGCCGCATGTACTTATTGAAATAATCAAACCAACAACATAAGCTAGTGTAAGTCGACCGAGTGATATAACATGATGTAATCGATACTTGTACTTAGCGAAAAGCCTAATTGAAAGTCTGATTATGCTAGCGTCATGGCGTGTGCACATCATCAAGCTGCAGAGGAGTATAAATCCCTCCAAATCCCCATCGACACTCTTTGACATATCAATCTTCATCTCGTAACTCTGCACATAATTTTCGCTCTATACTCCATCAATAAACACCCTAACATCGAGAGCTTGCCATTCTCTTAGAAACATGGCAAACACTGAAGACTTTGGTGATGATGTCAGTAGAACAATATATGTTAATCCAATATAAAAGCTATTTGCTCAGTTCACTGATGAATACCATAGGATGTTGATTTTATCATGGACGTTGATCAGTTGCAAAATCATGGTACATACCCCTATTCCATCGAAATTTTACCTTCCACTTCCGCTGAGATAAATATGACATAGGTATTGGTGCAAGTGATATTTCTAAGTTGAAATCAGCGGGGTACTGGACAATTGCAGTAATCACCTACCTAAGCACCACCTGATAACCAAATCATTTTACTAAAATACCCATAAGGCTGTCTGTGCTGCTACCCGGAGGAACATCTCTAAGATTAAAGGTTAGTACATCACATTATAGTTCTCGATACTTTCGAGAGGCTAATTGCTTCTTTCTCATAAAGGTTTCTCCGAGCAAAAAACAGAGAAGGTCAAAGAAGCTGCTGTCAAGTGCGCTGTACGACCCTTCAATACCTATGCACCCTCTCTAGATTTTAAGGTATTAACGTATTGTAGCCCGCATCCTACAACTTTATTACTGCCTCTGAACTTGGTCACCTCCGCCGTAGAGTATGCCGCATTTCTACAGGTTCTAAAAGCTTCGACTCAATGCTTGGTGGAGGCATTCAAACTATGTCAATAACCGAAGTCTTCGGTGAATTTCGCACGGGAAAATCCCAGCTCTCAATGACCGCAGCGGTGATATGCCAACTACCAAAGGATCACGGCGGGGCAGAAGGTAAGGTGGCGTACATTGACACCGAGGGGACGTTCCGCCCAGAGCGAATCAAACAGATCAGTGAACGGTTTGGCGTTGATGGTGATGCGGCATGTGAGAATATAATCTACGGAAGGGCATTGAACTCGGAACATCAGCTAGAACTTCTGAATGGACTTTGCCAGAACTTTTCTAGTGGTGAATTTAGATTGTTGGTGAGTAGTGACATCCTCATCCGAGCTTGACCTCATGGATTCTCAGAGTAAGAGATCGTGGACAGTATCATGGCGTGTTTTCGCGTGGACTATTGCGGCCGTGGGGAACTTTCAGAGTAAGTCCTACCTAAAATTTTATATTCTCATTAACAACTGAACTTCAAAACAGGCGTCAACAAAAGCTCGGACAAATGCTGTCAAAGCTCGCACATATGGCTGAAGAGTTTAATGTTGCGGTTCTTTTGGTATCACTCGTGCAATTCGTTCACATACACATGGTCTTAATTGCTAAGCATGGATATAGACCAATCAGGTTCAAAGTGATCCAGGTGCTAGTGCTTTGTTTGCTGGAGCAGATGGGTAAGTGCCTGATAGCAATACGTATGGGATGCTTCGTTGCTAATTAATAAATATAGGCGTAAACCAGGTATGCTCTCCTAATAAATATCGAAGGCTTTTATTGAATAATGGAATAACCCAATAAAAACCAACAGTTGGCGGGTAAGGAATTCGAACCGCTCCTCCCCCGGGATTTTGGGTTTTATCAATTAACTAATGAGTAATTATCCAAAGACACGTTCTCGCACATGCCTCAGCTACTCGGATTCTTTTGGTTTTGGCCCATCTCATATTTTCTTATGCTATTACCCATATATTACGAGTCTCTTCAATTTTACTAACATTACCACAGCGTAAAGGTCGCGGGGAAGAGCGTGTCGCCAAGCTGCAAGATAGCCCAGATTGCCCAGAGCGTGAGGCTACTTACGTTATCACTAATGGGTTCGTCTTACATACTCCCAAATGTTTGTCCTTGCTTTATTTTTTCTTTATTGAAGCGTATACTAAATGTGGGAAATATTGTAAAGCGGAATCAATGATCCCGAAGCTGCTAAATAAGAAAAAAGGAATGGACGAAAATAACTCAGGTGGTATACGTAATGGTAAACAGACGTATATGTATTGAAGAAATTTTAATATATATACACGTAGCTTTCTATCTGTACAGTGGTATTTCTTGAGTGGATCTGTTCCCAAAGAAGGATATACGCGCTCTCTCCTATGTACTCCACTAGACGTCCATTTAAGCTCACCCAAGCTAATTACTTATCCACAGCGTGGCTTTTGTTGCGCAAGTCAATACCCGGGGATTCGGGAAAGCTTCGCCCCAGATCTTTTTTCTATTGGGACGCTTCGCGCAACAAATTAATTAAAACTATGCATGGAGTTTGAATCACTGTCGCGTGCTCACATTCAGCTCTGCTGTGCGACCAAGCCCCCCTTTGTTTTTTGTCGCTCTCCCTGCAGAGCTCGTACGATTTTTGATGTAGAAGAAAATAATTGCGTAGATAATGTATTTGCTGAGTCAAAGTAATATTCTGAGATCTCACGCGCATTGGTGGTATGTAAATAGAAACTGTTGTTTCAATCATGATAAATCACTCATTACTCGTTATAGTAATCATTTCACCTAGTTTGGAGAGATCGGCTATGCATGTAGATCTCGTTCTTCTCAATTTTTAAAGACTCGAGTTCTTACATCTTGGCCCTAGGAGAATGCAGATAGTTACAACGACAAAATCGATCCTTTATGGTATTATTCCCATTTTGTCTTTCCAATACTCCTAGCCCAGACAAAAATTCACCTTTACTTATCACAGCTGCCACGATACGTAGAAAGAAATTCAACGATGGAAGTATAAAAAATATGAACAATGAAAAGAAGTCCTAATCAACCCTTGGAAAACATAAAGAAAACCCGTTGCCCTAATGAAACCGAAGCAATAAAGTGGCAGATCCGATCCTAATTGCAAGTTCCATGAAAAAGCAGTAAATCTGGGGGTTAAATAGTCAGAATCCATAGAATCAATTTTCCATGTTCCCATATAACAAACGAAATATGTAGTTCCATTTTTAGGTCAGAAAAAGTAAATATCTCAAGATATTTAAGCGACAACCGTAGAGTTGACAGCGGGAGCCTGGTCTGGCTGCTCAATCGTCTGCTGAGGACAGTCGCGAGAGATGTGACCTAAAAGGATTATTAGCACAGAAGTCTTATATCTGCGCCTGAGCCTGGCTTACCGGCTTCACCGCATCTGTAGCACGACTTTCCAGCAGTGCTCAATGGACCACCGTTAGGTGCTTGACAATCCCGGCTGATGTGTCCCAACTTTCCACAAGCATAGCACTTCATTGCCTGGGCTTGGCAGTCCCTAGCATAGTGATTTGGGCCTAAATCCGATAAGCAATAGTAGAGCCTTATCAATGATTGGGCTATAACATACCACCACACTTGTAGCAAGTGGCAGGACGGGGGTTCCCAGGGAATCCACCTCGAGGAGGGAAACCTCCAGCATATCCGCCCCGGGGGAAGCCACCAGCTCCCCTTCCGGCACCAGCTCCCTGAGTAGGGCAAGCTCTGGCCTGTAAAAACCATTCTGTCAAAATTCAACTGAAAATCACGATGAGTGAGAAAAAAAGAAAAAAAATCAAAAATATATACCAGATGGCCTGGGTTGCCGCATGAGTAGCACCTCCCACCACCAGCTCCTGAGAGTCTCAAAGTAGGACAATCAGCCTGGACGTGTCCAAGTCCCTGACAGTGGTAGCACTGCTTGGTCTCAGTGGTCCTAGGGTGGGGACATGTGTTGGATTCGTGCCCTGTTTGTTGTTGAGTTATTTAAATATTAAGACCTAGAGAAAAAATCCCCGCTACTAAAAGAACGCTTACCCGGCTGCTTGCCTATATATCCCAGTAAAACACGTCAGCATTGCTGAATTGTGGAGGGAACTGCAAAATTTTTATCAGTGAAGAGGATTTCTTACAGTTGTAACAAAGGCGCTCTGCCGATGAACAAACTTCGGCAAAGTGACCGATAGATCCGCATCTGAACAAGATATGGACACGTTAGAACAGATAAAATGCAATAGAGAGTAATGTTGATAGTCGTGAAGGTGAGGGGCGACTGACTTGTAACAGGCTCTGCGAGACAACGACGACATGGTGATAAATTTGAAATTTATATAAGAAATTCGGTAGGTTCTTTATAGGTCCTATAATGTGAGATCAGTCTCTTGGAAATAGATGTGATGATGAAAGGGGAAACAAAAAAAAAAAAACATGGGGGAGAAAAAAGGTCCGTACCTTTAATCAACGATTCTTTGTGACTCTACTCCCAACACCCTACTCAGCACTTCCGCTTACACGACTCTCATTACACTCTCGCAGCTTCACTCACACTCTCAACACTCACTCACTTCCTTCCACTACCGCACCCTGCAAATATCCTTCTCAAAGTAACGACGTTTGTCGAAGATGGTGATAGAAATCCGAGATGAAGAGGGGGGTGACAGAGAGGGGAGACGAGAGATAAAATAGGGTTGATGTGGATGGTGGTGGGGCGTAGCCTGGACTAAAGGATACTACTAGATGTAGAGCAGAATATGTATGTATGAGGGCGGGTGCGTGTGCGCTATGTAGCCTATGATGGCGGAGCTGGGTTGTCTGGGGGGTCACCTTTTAGGTTCGGTGCCTAGAAAAGCTAATTTGAAGAATTTTTTTTTTTGTTTCGCGCGTGGTCGAACAGGATTCGGGTTGACAGACAAATTGACGGATTGGCTGGCCGAGGGCCACCTTTACACAGGAGGTGGAGAGTTTAGGGTAGGGGTATCTAACTCTCCGTAGCCTTAGGGGAGGAAGACTTTCATCTGGATCTTCTTCTTTGCCCGCGAACTCAAACCGAATTTCACTTCAGTAAGTCAGGCACATGGTGACCACACCGTGTAATTGGTAGTGCGCCTGTCTTAGTCGTCGTACATATGTACACACAAAAGAAGATTGGTATGCTATGGAGAAGGCTCCGTCCAGAGAAGATGCCCACCCCCCCAAATTTGAACGCAAAAAATAAAATAAAAAAGGAAGAAAACAAGCTGCCTGACCTATTTAGTCTAACAATTCCGATTGCTGCAGGGCCCGGCAGGGAATGATCCTTCCCTTTTGGTTTTGAAAACACTTAAGTACTCTACACCCTTGGGAAATTTGGGACAAGCTAAATGAGAGAGTGAAGGTTTGTTCATCAGAGATGTCTAGTTATGATATAAAACACGAGGTAGATGGAGGCCATCCGTTCTTGATGAACACCATGGAAGAGAGCAGCGATGAGTGCCGAAAATGATGGATTGCGAACAAGTAGTTGGATGTGGCGCCGAATGGAATGCTGCCCTTTGGGATCAGAACATCTAGGCCTGAGCACACAAACCCAAGAGCCATTCAATATAAAATTCGATTTAACGAAGAACAACCTCTTCCTATCGTTCGTGCTTGTCAATTATAGGCCGACCAAGAGATAGTAGGAGGTGGAGGGAATGCCCCATTTCCGTGTTTAGTGATTGGAGAGTCCCAGAGTCAGAATCTCAGTGACCACATCCATCCAAAGCGGGATAAAAAAGAAAAAGATCGCGGGTCAAAAATCGAGGGCAGTTGAGACCCATCCGATGCACCGTAACCCAGAGTGGATTGAGCAGATAACGCATCTTATTCCCAAATCCATGAGTATCCCTTCTCCTTGCAATCCAATGATAAGTTGGAGATATTTGGTTGCGAATGGGGAAAAACCATTGAGCAACAGGCGAGAAGACGTCAGGTCATACGCATATATCAGATCTGCCTCTTTATTCGCAATCTGGGGAAAGACAAGGTTCAACCCCCTGAGGTAAGAGTGTGCGCAACCGGATTTGGCCGTACCAATTGCTCCTCCCTGAATGTGTGGCACCCATCATGGAAAGATTGGATGAAAGGAAAGTCAATGAAAAGGACTGCATACAAGATCGCCGGTCGAGCTTCCGCACGATTAATTTGTGTGGCGGCAAAGACAATACATACCGTCAAATAGCGATGATAAGCATGCTGTCCGAGCGGGACTGCGTTCCCGACTTGGTATTTCGCTCACAGCACAGAGCAACAAGGCGTTTGTTTCCTGAGATCCTCCCGTTGGCACCATATCTAAGTATCTAAGTGTACTGTAAGTACCCCAAGTTCCTGGATTGCAAGATCTCACTGCAACTTTCCGACTGTCAAGCTTTCCCAGAAATCTGCTTGAAACGCACAGCCACATGTTTGAAATGGCCCCGGACCTACAAGGAGTGGTTCATGAACAATGTACATATCCTATCTTGGAAAGGTACTGTATGGTAGGCATCAACCAATTTATAGGTGTTTTATGAAGCCCGCAGCTGAATCATAGCTAGGATATAATTCTAATGGGTACTGCGGTTAGTGAACAATCCGCTACTCTCTATCTATAGAGAGATCTCCTTGTCGAATAAGTACTATTGCATACTTCTGATCGATACCCAGCTTCGAATCCCATTGACAAAGGAACCATGCTCGGGACAGATTTACCTTTTTTGTAAGCCACCAATAACAACCCTAATTGTCGACAGTCAGTAGTCGATAATCCGAATGTATGGTCTTCTCGGCCCCACTACGATAGGCAGTGGATACTTGGGCGGCCTGTCTTCTTGCATTCCGACCTGCCTCGGTACCTAATAGGTTGTCAACTCACCACCAAAGGGTGAGGTTCAGCCGTCCGTGCCATATCATATGTATGCGCCACCTAGCAGTCCGTTTAGCATTTCTCGCCTCGGATCGGAGTCTCAGATTTCCAAAAATTAGGCGCCTGCATAAAAACAAATGAAAGAAAAAGTCACATGTTCCACACCTCATGCGGGTACCACATTTACACAAGAACATACCTAGCATGACATGTTGGTGGTTCACACCGCTTCATCATGTCTATTAGTATCGCTTTCTCTTTGTAGATGCTGGAATGTGTGACGATTAGACGCAGTTGCAGTCCCGCAGTTAAAGAAGAAAAAAAGCTAATACCTAATTAGCAAACCCCTATATTATACCGGGTGCCTACACCTCTATCTAGCGGTTTAAGAGAAACATCAAGACTGTGATGGAACTTCAAAAAACAATCGACCAGTGTATATTGAAACCCTTCGATGCCAGGTATCTAGACAAACCAGGGGGCTTCGTATCACAATGGATTTCCAGCGAGGGTAGTGGCGTATCTGTGCCCGCAGTTCTATAGCGGAAGGCAGACACAGGATGCAGTTTTGAAAATGTTGGAAATCCTCATTCATACGGATTCTCAATTCGTTATTTGCTTTCTTTTTTTCTTTCTGGTAATCCAGTTTTGGGCAGATGATCGCGTTCAATTGGCATTAAAAATCGAATGACCGTTCATGATTCTACGCTAAGAAAGAATTGAAAACTACCTATAGTAGAAGCTGATCTTTATAGATAGTCACATACCAAGTGTCTTAACTACAGAAAGTTCTGTGGCAATTCATATGGAAGAGGGCCCATACTGCTTTCTACACATTATCAGCTACATTTTGATACCTTCAAGGTACATAAAGTACCATCACGCAGGATGTGGTGATGCAGTATCATCAACACAAAAGTTAAGAATTTAAGACATCAGAAGCCATGTCAAATGAGCGGCCTTTTAGGGAATTCTCGGATGACTATTCAACACATTCCTTCAAGAGGTAGAGGATTCTAATGTTGCCTAACAATTATAGGACTGTGAGCGATTTTCCGGTTTTTTACATATCGAGTCGAAGTTACATGCAGTACTCACCAAGAATAGATAGGTGTATCTCCGAAGGGGGAACAGATTCCCCAGAGAGGCAATGTAAGAAATTAAACCCCGGATGACTTTAGTTAGCTTTTCTCCATGTTATTAACTAGATAGAATGCTCATCTGAAAATTCGAAAAAACTTTAGTGAAGCAAACGCCTATATAGCTATCTCCGTGTGACGCGTAATGGGTGTGACTTTTGTTTCTAGATATTAAGACTTGTACTCCTAGATAATATCATATGGACTTAACGCTCTGAAGCTATTGTAAAAAATATCTAGGTTGAAGATACAATTAGACGCTTATTCGTCATTACCCCGGAGTTATTATATATAACCTAATGTATGTACTATTATCTTCTAGGAACTAAGTGTAGACTGTGCTACGCGTACGGCGAGTTTTTTTTTTTTTAAAAGAAAATTAGGGTCTATTATACTAGCTATGCAATTCTCAAATAGACAACCCCCTCACCAACTAGAATATCTCCCTGGCCCGCTTACAATGTCGTTGCGGTACATAGGGAGAGTGCTCCGATGGAGGAGACGTCAATGCATATATATGTTCCGCCCCAGTCACGAGTATATCACATTGGCCAATAGGCCGGCCCATTGCCTAACTGGCCATCCTGTCGACAAATATTGCCTATTGACCAATGCTTCCTGAGATTTGACAACAGTCACTGATCTTCTGTCCGGCTGGCCAATGCCTGCCAGAATTTGACTAAAGTTGACTAATATATAGCGGTGATTGTTAATATTGTCTACATATGTAGTTAACTTCCAAAAGCCATCGCCTAACTGAGAAACTCAAAGAACACATTCTACCATACCTACATGTATGTACCCTTGCCCCCGATATACTACCATCCTAGGTCTACAAAAGTAATGCAAATAAATATTTCTTTAATAAATAGCTAATTACATGTAACTAGGGCCAACAACTTTCCGCCGAAAAAGATGAGAATTATATATGGTGCGAGAGGCCTTGGGGGGCGACCTTGTAATCCCTGTTCACACCAGTTCAGTATTGTAGCCCTTACAGCCATAAAGTCGAGTTAAAGGTGAGGCTCTTCAATGTTTGCTTCCCGGAGCCAATGAAAGAATTGACTGAACTGGTGTGTACAGGGTTGACAAGTTCGCCCTCTACTCCCTCTTGCACCATAGTAAAATCCCCTGTAAGCGAAAAGTAAGAGCTCGTTCACCAATTATGGCCCATTGGCCAATAATTAGTGTTTGCGACTGGGACGGGACATATATTAATGCTTGCCAAGAATATGCACAGGTGGTTGTCAACATGCCAAGGTTCTCAAACATCAACAAAAAAACAAATCAGCTCGTAATAGCTACAATACCTATATACTCATTTCTTTGGCTCTGGGGGATTTACAGCATCCCAAGGACTCACCCTTAGAAGCAAGCTGTAGGCCATGTTTCTAGCTACTATATGGCCACTAGTACACTGCAAATATCTCCCCATCGCCCCAGTAAAGCATTATCTTGTAAATTCTCTAAGTTTATATTTGATTAAGGAAAGTGAATAAAGTGGATTGCGGGAGAGGTGATGGTGGTGGTTATATATAATTAGTAATGACGTGATATTGGAGATTTGCGTTATGTCTTAGTACAGTGTAGGTACATACGCTACTCGGTGCATAATACTACTGGATTTTTCAAAATGGCCTGGCAGCAGCAAGATGCGCTTTGAATAGGTATGTGCGGCTATGATACGTGTCGATAAGCTTTATTTTATGTGCAACCGAATTCGAATAAAAGAAAATGGCATAGGTTTTTTGATAGTTGAATAAATATCATTGACCAAGCAACTCACGGGATCCATACTTGTATGTAGGTACATGTAGTTTTGCTCCAGTTTTTGTAGTCTATCCCTGCCTGCAGAGGGATGCGGCAAGGGACCAATGATAAGAATCCACTTGAAATTAGTCATCAATACCCTTGCATGGAAGCCTACTGTTTTCGGAAGACAGCTACATGTACGTATAATACCTGACTAGTGGGCATGTTTTGATTAGTACTGGGATTTCTTATCTTTTGAAAGTCCTCATAAGCATTACGGTTTCCGGTGCGATCAAATTCCATCCCCACTAAGGAATACTTGCGAGAAGAGCGTGGGAATCTGTATCAATTCTACAGCACAGGAATTCCCGTACGATCAGAAACAAACCATGCCAAAAGCACAGTAGACAAACCTGCACGTCGCACAAACCATGCCATGTAAAACCAGGAGGCAAAAAAAGGAAATAGAAAGAAAAAAAGAACCGGAACTCAAGGGTTAAAAAGGAACTATTTCAATTGAACCAAACGGCAAAGAAAAAAAAAGACTGAGAGCTTGTGGGACCATATAAGAGGAACGAAGATTTCAACACCAAGGATATTTGGAGGCCGGTTATCACAACCTAATTTCACGACCCATTTGACCTTTAAAGCCATGATCCCATCTCTTACTTTTGCCTGCTCTCCCGCCAAGTATCCCATCTCTTTGTTCAAATTTATTCTTTGGCCTCGGCCTTCCCTTCAGTCGCAGGTGCGGCCGCAGGGGCATCGGGCATTTCCTTATTTGCCTCCGGGGCAGGGTCGGCCTCGGCTTCGGATGAAGTCCAAAGGGTCTTGTAGATGTTAGCATAAATTCATTGCTAAAAGGGTTCAGAGGTACTAACCAGGTTGTCTCGTAGCAACTGCATGATCAAGGTAGAATCCTTGTAACTCTCCTCACTCAGGGTATCAAGCTCTATAAATTTGTCAGCAAATTGTAATGTATTTTGGTAGACATAGTAGACATACCAGCGATAGCATCATCAAACGCCTGCTTAGCAAGGTGGCAAGCCTGATCAGGGGAGTTCAGGATCTCGTAGTAGAACACAGAGAAGTTGAGGGCCAATCCGAGGCGGATGGGGTGGGTGGGGGCAAGGTCAGTCTGCGCGACTTCAGTTGCGTTCTTGTAGGCCTCCAATGATTTGTCGGCAGATTCCTTGCGCTTGTCACCGAGAGCAAACTCGGCGAGGTAACGGTGGTAATCACCCTTCCTAGACTTCCGTTAACTTCCACAAAGCCTATCAGGGCCAAATATGTAGTGCTTACATCTTGTGGTAGAAGACCTTAGATTCACCAGACTGGGCAGAGGGAATGAGGTGCTTGTCGAGAACCTCCAAGATGTCCTCACAGATCTTGGCCAGCTCGGCCTCAATCTTTTGGCGGTACTCCTTGATCAAAGTAACCTGAGATTCATTGCCCTTGGACTCCTCCTTTTGCTCAATGGAGGTTACAATCCTCCAAGACGCACGTCGGGCACCGATGACGTTCTTGTAAGCTACGGAAAGAAGGTTGCGCTCCTCCACGGTGAGCTCCTGATCAGCGGAAGCAACATTCTTCATGTTCTCAACCATTTCTGCGATATTTTCAGCAATCTGAACTGGCAAAGATGTGTAGGATATGTTTGGGGCTGCTGACCCTCATAGCGCTCCGCCTGCTCGGCAAGCTTGGCCAGGTAAACTGAGTCTTCATAGCCCATTTTTAAAATTCTGTGTTGTGATCTAGTTAGTAAAGGTTCCATAGCAGGTTCCAAAGGCATTTACTACGATCCATTCTATAGGCTGCAGAGGGGTAAAGGTATAGCCAAATAGATAAAAATCAACAGAAGCAGAAACAGCTCGCTATGACAACAACAGATATACATTTGATAGGAAAATTACATCCAATAAAGCCTACAGAAAACATAGATGGGATGGAACGAAAGGGATGAGTATGTTGAGATAAAGTAAAGTTATGGATGGTGCTGATAGCAAAGGAGCACCCGCAACCCCGCTCTATGCTGCTTTCCCGATAACAGCAACGAAATAGGGAAACTCGCAGTAGAGGAAGATGTTATCTGCCATTTGCAATAAAGCTTCTTCTAGAGTTCATGGGGCCTGCAAGTGCTCCCAAGAGTTCTAGGCCCCTGATGAAGCTCTTCTATGCCAGAAAAGGGGAAAGAGATGCAAAGAATAGAGCAAGTTCAATAGAGGAAATGAGTATTTACCTTGAATTTTCGATTAAAGAGTTTGGTAGATTTGAAAGCAATAGAGAGGAAGGTGATAGTGGATGATGAACGTTGATAGCAGTTGAAGGTGCAGATATGGAGGAAGGAGATTGAGGGGGGAGAAGGAGGTTTAGATGGTCGTCGATGATGTGTTAGGTGGGAGGGAAAGTGGGCTAGTTGCGTTGCGTGGGCTTGCGAGAGCGGCAGAGGGAAAGGAGACAACAACCAAGGTACGACGATCCCTACCAATTTGGGACCCTGCAAATTGCTGCAAATTATGTCCGATTTGCGTCTTGTGAAAACTCCAGACATGGCGACAACGACTCCTAGCTAGGGTAAGTCTGTAGACATAGATACATGTACCTATGTACATTTGACCGCATGATCTGGTTGTCTGAGTGTAAAGACTCGAGGTTCTTCAAAGCTACTGAATCCCCTTGGGCAGAAAACAAGAAACCAAAGGAAGACCCTGTGCACACCGGAATGTATACCTTGTGCCTAGCTAGGAAAGCTGCTTCCTCTTTCCACCAATGATTTGAGATGGATTGTGGACCATTTCGTAAAAATACACCCCTTCACCTTACAGTATGTAGTAAACTCGCTATGAGCCCGGTATTAATGAGGCTCGTGGCCATGACGTTTTGTTACAGGAGCAACTGTGGGTTAAAGAAAACAAGGAACGGGAGCCTCAGGCCCAGAGGAAACTCAACTCATGAGAGGCAAAAAAATAAAAATAAACAAAGATAGAGTTGGGAGCACCAAACATGGTGATAATCTGATCCCATCTATTCCCTAGGTAGTCTGCAAGCAAATCTATACAATTTGGGGAGAAGTGGGGTGGGGCTCACCAGCGCATGGCCTGATCATCGCTCGGCCTGTCGTCACTTGCCCTGTCGCACGTACCACGACCCGACGACCTCCCGAGATTTAAAGAAGACATCCATCCACATATATCCATTTTCTTTAATCAATCATTTATCGCCAACGATAGAAACAATGCTTCGTACAACCATCGCTCGCTCTCTTCGCATTAATCGCGTATCAGCCATCGCTATGTCTGCCCGACCTTACTCCTCTGAGGGGTCTACTGGAAGCGGCTTTTCGCGTCCAGCCGGTGAGGCTGCTGGGTGAGTGGACTCTTTTCTCGAGTGAATGGTGATATTCAGATCATGAAGGGGATCAATCAGTGGCGGACCAAGTATAGAATGCATTAACTTACAGATAGTTGCTTTCAGTGATGCTTTCACCAAACGTGAGAAGGCCGCAGAGGATTTCTACGTTCGTCAGCAGGAGAAAGTAAAACTGGTATGCATCTCAGCTACTTCTGCATTCAACTTCCATTGCTGATCTACCATATAGCTTCAACTGCGAGAAAAGTTGAAGCAGCAGCGTAAGCATCTCGATGAACTGGACGCTCATATGTAAGCCTCCCTAACTCAATTTCATGGGCAAGTTCACTAACGCTTGTTTTATAGTGAGGAGCTCACTAGAGAGCAAGGGGGAGAAAAGAACTAAATTGGCGAAGTCTTCGATTCGTTCTATTAGAATGGGGACTGCAATGGATGCGTACACGCCTAGGAAGTACCGGGCGCTTCCATCATTGTAAAAAGAGAAGGATACGTCTTCATCCAGTGGTACATCTAAAGATAAAGAATATATTTTCGTCCAATTGTATGAGCCAGGTATTATTGGTATGATTTTTCTTCTGAATGGTCTATATAGTAGAATCTCATACCATGAAATGAGAGCCCACCTGTCTTGATAATCCCGATATATAGTGTTAAATCATTATCATCCAAGCCCTTTGAGCTTAGGTTTAAGTGCAAATAATTCGTTTTCTGCATCACGATTCTTACGATGCCGTTTAAGGTTTAGTCTGATTGGAGAGCATGCAGTTTGCCTACAGACCCTTATATAAATCCAGTGGATCCAAGCTATTCGCCCTCAAAGTTATGAGTTAGCCAGTCTATACCGGCATATTCGGAAACGATATAGAGGTGGATGCCCTAAGATACCCTATTCATGTAGATTGACGTTTTACGAATATTTGAAGTAGGCCAAGGTAACTTAAGAAAATTCGAGACTAGATACTGAATGAGAATATTCAAAGGAAACCTAAATTCATCACAGTTTCCCAGACACTTTATCCTCCTTGAAACTAGGTGTTCTGGGCAAGAAAAAAAAGGCACACTTAGTGTCACAGATAGATACGACCCAATGCTAATATCATGGTCGATGTAAAGCGGCGATATGCAATATATGTTTCCACCCTATGGGAAGAGTATAGAAAATAATCAAACCAAAACAATAAATGCAGAGGTATATTGGGGAACATGAAATATTTCAAGCATCAGGACAAAATAAAGCAAAACAAAAACAACCAAATATCCAGTAAAAGAACACAAAAACCCTGTACTAATCGTAAAAATATTGAAACTCAATGGGAAAAAAATAAAGTGGAACTAAACAAAATCAACAGACCCTACCAACCGAAAACCACACCATAAAACCGCACAACAATGACAAAAAAACAGATAAGACGCAGACCACATGCAAGGATATCATCCCCCATTTAAGTCATGCACGTCACCGACCCAATGAGTAGATAAACAAAAAGGAAAATAAACCGTCCAGAACACTTTGCCGCCGAAATTTTTGCCCCACCCCCCTTGCCACAGTCACCTTCGCAGGATCTTCCGGAAGGAGGCGATATAAGAAAAAAGAACGCTTTTGAAATGCCGATGAAAATCCCTCGTCCGACGGTGTCCCGCAGCGACGGGCCAAGTAAGGGTCCTCGTCGCAAATAAACGCAAAATGGACTCGCCACCCAATAGGTCTTTCTCCTGCGTGTAACTATAACTATATAGATCCCGTACAAATCAACGATATCCTAACCATTTCCAAATCCACATCTGACTTTCTGTTCTCCTCTCAGCTGCTGTGCGATCGATACAGTGCCTACAGGGAGTGACCTATTATTTTAGCCTGCGATCAGAGACTTAGGGTTTCCATCACAAGAAAACCATTACGTCTTGGCTCACCCGCTCATGTTCGATCGCATCATCGTCTGTTAGCTCAATTATCTGCTGTGGGTTGGCTGGCGCCGGGGTCGAGACTGCTACTGTCACCGCCCGGGGCTCCAGTGGCGGCCGACTCCTGGTCATGTTTGCTCCGTTTATGACCCTGTTCACCCGCTCGCTGTCGTCCGGTATCGACGATAGTAGTCCGCTGCCTCTTTCCAGAAGTGGACCTCCAAGAGTCGCGCACTGTTCCGATGTTAGTAAGTCTGCTCGGAGTTCCGTCCCTAATTCCCTCTGGATGGTAACGTCCATTTCGAGTTATTACCTTGAGGATGACTTGTATTAGTGTATTCTGCTTCAGGGGCTTGGACAAATATTCATCCATCTGAGCCTGAATACACTTTTCTCGATCACCCAACATGGCATGAGCCGTCAAGGCAACGATGGGTGTCCTTGACAACCCGGCCTCTTTCTCATACTCGCGAATCTTCGCAGTTGCTTCAAAACCACCCTAGAGACAAACGTGTCAGAATATCCAAAGACTATGATTTGAAAGGAGGCTTATTTACCATAACAGGCATTTGTACATCCATCAATATTACATCGTACCGCTTGTTTTTGACAGCTTCGAGAGCCTGCAAACCGTTCTCAACAACCTCTACAGTATGGTGATACTTCTCCAAGATCTTCACAGCTAACTTCTGATTGACAATGTTGTCCTCCGCCAATAGCAAGTTGAAGGATTTTGAATTCTCAGAAACCGAAGGCGCAGCTCTTCCTTCCAAAGCAGGGATCATGCCATTCCCCAGGTCAATTGGGAGGCATGGGGTGGTCATGTAAGAAGTAATACCCAAGTCGAGTGTAGACTTGAGTGAGACCTGGATTATCGGGCAGAGGAGTACAAGTGGAATGTACTTAAAGTCGTCCAATGTCCGTAACTTCAAGGCAGTCTCCATAGAGTCAACGAGTATGACGTCGTACATCACACCCTTCCTTCCGTTATTCATGTCCGGCAATGGTGCGTCCTCTGCAGAATGCACGACAATAGGCACCAAATCGAGCATTCTCAACATCTCGGGAATAGCGGCATTTTCACGGTTCTTATCGATGAAGAGAACGTGATGACCCTTGTAGGGTTTGAGTTGGGGCATAATTCCACCAAGATCTGTTGATGCAAGGCGAACAATGCATGTAAAGTAGAAGGTACTACCTTGTCCATACTGACTCTTGACCCAAACATCACCACCCATAAGATTTACCAAACGTTTCGAAATTGATAAGCCAAGACCTGTACCACCAAACTTCCTAGTTGTAGAGCCATCGGCTTGACAGAAGGTGTCAAATATCAAATCGAGTTTATCTGACTGGATTCCAATCCCGGTGTCAGAAACTGAAAACTCGAAGCAGTACTCGTTCTCAGCACAACGCGATTGGTCGGTTTGACGGATAGTCAATTTGACTTCCCCGCTCTCAGTGAATTTGATGGCGTTTCCGACAAGGTTAAGAATAACCTGTCTCAAACGGAAGGAATCTCCAACCACGTGATCGGGAACAACATTGTCAACACAGTAGACGAGATCCAAAAATCGCTCATTGGCCTTGACGGCCAGTGTTTTCAAGGCATTGAAAACAGTTCCACGAAGCGAGAATGGAATTTCTTCCATAACCATACGGTTTGCCTCGACTGCATTATAATGTTACGTCAGTTACTGGAGAAAATAGTACAATGGGGGAGGTCTGCAGAAGGGTGGTATAGTAAAGGACTAAACGGGAGATATACTCTTCGAAATATCCAATATGTCGTCAATAATGGTCAGTAAACTATTGGCCAAGTTATGCACAATATTTAACATCTCGCGTTGGTACTGGGTTAAATCGGTGTCAAGGGTTAATTGGGTCTAACCAAAATGTCAGTTCTATCTCAAGGATCTAAGAAGTAGAATTATTTCATACCATTCCAATAATACCGTTCATTGGCGTTCTAATCTCGTGAGACATGTTCGCCAAGAATTCAGACTTGGTTCTGTTCGCCAATTCTGCAGTCTCACGAGCTGCTGTGTTCTTCTGAATACTGTCACGCAAATTGAATACCATCTGGTTAATCTTAGTCTTGAGGGCATCCATCTCGCCGGAAGCTTCAACGGTAATGAATCGATTGAAGTCACCATCAGCTGCCGCTGCAGTGATGGAACCGAAAGCTCGGACTTGGGTCGTAAGGTTTTGTGCCATGGTGTTCACATTGCTGGTAATTTCCTTCCAGAGTCCATCGACATCATTCACCTCAGCCTGGACACCTAACTTTCCGTCTATCCCCACATCTCTTGCCACACGCTTGACTTCTCTCGAAAACACCTCAAGACGGTCAACCATCTTGTTAATAGTCGATTTCAGTGCAAGGACTTCCCCCTGCGCGTGCACAGTAATCTTGCGACTCAAATCACCCTCGGCGACAGCAGTTGTGACATCTGCAATACTTCGCACCTGTGTAGTAAGATTATTGGCCATGATATTAACGTTGTCGGTAAGATCCTTCCAGACACCCTCGACGTCTTGTACCTGTGTTTTTTGTCAGAATGATCTGTCTTCGTTCCAAAAATTTAAACATACTCTTGCTTGACCTCCCAAAATCCCGTCCGTACCGACTTCCCTGGCGACCTTCGTGACCTCCGTGGCGAAATTCTGCAACCGTTCCACCATCTTGTTGATCGTCTCCTTCAATTGTAGAATTTCTCCCTGGGCGTGCACATCAATCTTCCTCGCCAAATTACCTTCTGCCACAGCAGTCGTAACCGAAGCGATACTGCGCACTTGGGTTGTGAGATTGCGAGCCATGCTGTTAACGTTCTCAGTGAGGGATTTCCAAGTGCCCTCCACATCCTCTACTCTAGCCTGTCCACCAAGCTTCCCTTCCGTTCCGACTTCGCGGGCTACTTTTGTAACCTCGGTGGCAAAGTTTTGGAGACGGTCGACCATCTTGTTAATAGTTTCCTTGAGCTGTAATATTTCTCCCTTACAAATGGCGCTGACTTTCTTGGTAAGATCTCCTTCTGCGACAGCTGTAGTGACAGCTGCAATGTTCCGCACTTGATCTGTGAGATTTGCAGCCATAGCATTCACATTATCGGTAAGCTCTCGCCATGTTCCCTTCACCTATAATTTACAGACTATTGTAAGCACCCTGGAAGTACCGCAGGAAGAGCGATAATACCTCGCGTATCTCAGCCTGACCACCAAGGATGCCATCGATTCCGACTTCACGAGAAACTCGAGTAACCTCAAAGGCAAATGTTCGAAGTTGATCGACCATAGAGTTAATAGTCTGTTGCAGTTCCAGGATCTCTCCTTGGGCATGAACGTGGATTTTTCGAGAAAGATCTCCGTTAGCAACAGCTGTGGTAACATCTGCAATCTCTCGAACCTGATTTGTGAGATTCGAAGCCATAACGTTTACTATATAATAACAATATCATAAAATATCAGTATATAAAAACTCAAAGGTCTGGCAGAGTGTTATCACTCTAGTCAATTAGACCAGAAAAAAAGCAAGGATCTCAAGCTACCGTTATTTGTCAACTCCATCCATGTTCCCTCTACGCCCGCAATTCTAGCCTGTCCTCCAAGGCGACCCTCGGTTCCTACCTCTCGAGCCACTCGAGACACCTCACTTGCAAACGTCTGCAATTGGTCTGTCATGGTATTGATAGTATTCTTGAAAGTAGTGATTTCAGGGTCCATCTCTACAGCGTGGACAGTAACCTTCTTGTTTAGGTCTCCCTTTGCAACTATTGCGCACGGACTTCAAATCAGTACCAAGTTACCCCACCCTGCACTTTTTGATACTTGCTCGTTGGCCACATACCAGCAGTGACAATCTCTCCGATTTCTCGGAGAGCCTTTGAAAAAGCCTCATTCGCTTGTTGTGATTTCTTTAGCTCCCGCTGAAGTCTCTCCACTTTTGTTGCCTCGTCTATGGGAATATGTGGAGTTTGTTTCGCTTTTTCTGCCTCCTCCATCAAATTCTTCATTATTTTCCTATTTTCCTGGATCTCTTGCTCTTGAGATTTGACATGTTTGTGCAGAAACTCGAGCTGGTGAGATTGTTCGCTGGAATCGCTGGTCGGGCTACTGCCATTCCCTTCTTCGTCCCGTACAAGACCGCCTTGGATAGGTATTGGTGAGGGGTGACGACCAACAAGCGAGAAGGGGGAAAATAGCGCACCATTTTCGTTGGGAGTATCAGGAAAGTGCTGGCTAACTGCATTGGCCTTTGACTCTAAATGCTGTATCCGCTGTACCAGCGATATAAGCTCCCTCTCCAGCGACCTTTTATCAAAGGTATCATGCCCGGGAAGAGTGAGCCTTTGTTCCTCGCTGAACTTGCTGTAATCACCCTTCGCGACAGCCCTAAGGACAGCCGTAGTGGCCTGGTAGACGGCGTCGTTCTGCATATTTCGTCGTCTGTTTCACCACCGAGAGGATCGGGGTGTTGAAGAAAAGTTTAGGAAAACCTTTGAAGGTTGAAATCACGGCCGAAATATTTGGAGGGGGGAAGGGAAGGGTTTGAGATTTTTTCTTGGGGGGGGGTGGAAGTCTGGGTGAGTTGATAACAGGTACGAAAACCCGAACCTCACTTAGTTGATTTCTAATTTCGGGTGGGAAGATACGAAGGAGGAGAGAGAAGAAAGAGAGGGGACGGGGGTTCGGGGGATAAGGGTGGTGGAAGCTCGCCCTGGCGTTGTTGACCCTTCTTTGGTTAGCCGTTGCCGCTTAGAAGGGTGAGCGATAACAGGGCTGCGGTGAGGTTGGAAGAGAGGGTAATTGCGGGACGAAAGGGTTAAAAAGAAGTTAATGAACTGATAGTGAGTTGAAAGAGGAGGGGGAGGGGAGCTCTCCGGGGAAAAGGGGAACGCGAACGATGTAGGTAGACGAGTAAGTAAAAAAAAAAAAAAAAGTAAAAAAAAAAAAGAGAGAAAGAGAAGAAGGCTCCAAGGCTAGTTCCAGAGGGAAGAAAGGCGGGCAACAGGAGTTACAGGACAGAGCAGCGGGTGGCCGGCAAGTTGCAACAAGCGCAGCAAAATAGTGGGCCAGCTGCAAAGACAGAGGCAAACGAGGGGACAAAAAGACACTGGCAGGGGTCAGGCAAAGGGCTGTGGAATTTGGGGAAACGAGCGAGTGAGAGGGCGTATGGGCTGTGAGTGTGCTTGCAAGTGTGCGTGTGAGGTCTCAGAGTGACGACCGCGGTGCAAGGATTTCTTCGACCTGCTGCTGTTGGGACCTCTGGACCGTGTAAGTGAGCATGAATGGAGGGACTGAAAAACAGCTGGGCAGGCGTTCATTGTGCAGCATGGCGGACAGGCAATCCCAGCCAACAATCCACCCGGCAGACGGGTGTCACTAGTATCGAGGCGTGAACAGTTCCTCAACACGATATTGGAATTTGGAAAACAGCAAGGAGTTCCCAGAGAGTGGGAATACTCCACCTACATGTACCGGCATCATTACCTGTTCTTCTCTCTACGAGTCTACTCAGTACCTACATGTAGATATGGGGATTCGTTTCTTTCACACCGATATGCAGTGGTGCTTGCTTTCTCGCACCCCCCACCCGGGTGGTTGAAATACACTTTATCCTAATCTTTATCACGCTCTGACGACACTCGACTCATCAAAGCCTCTCGGCTTCCTCCCTTTCAACAAATTTGTAACCCCCCATTCTTTCCCCCCGCCCGCCCCGCATGTCTTACATTCGCCTCCTCTTCATTCTCTCCTCCCCTTCGTCATCAAGGGTGCCTGAATTTATTCACAGCCTGGACCTGCCTACTCGCATATACTGTACGGTAGAAGTACAGTACTATTGCTTGATCATTCCGTCCAATTTAACTATGTTTCTCCCAATTCTAAATACAACTTTTGTTGTTATCAATTTTAACGTTATGTACATGTAGTTGTCGTCGTTCTGGTTCAACAATCTACCTAACCCGAGCCAGGGTTCAAACCCGCCTCCCATAACTAGTTCCCGTTTAAGCCCTTGAAAATTGGATCTCGGTAGACTTGAAGGTCCTCATGGCTGGCGAAACGATTGATTTCTTTCTTAGAGAAGTATGTCCAACAGTGGCCCAACAATTAAGGTGGCCACGGAACGGAACGCTGCCGTTGAGAGGGGAACAAAACCATGAATCTCTGCTTCTCATCTCAACAGTTAAATAATACGGTCCACCTATTCATACCTTTGCTGTCAAACCCACACCGCTAGAACCCCCTGTGCCCGTATCACTGCATACGCGCATGAAAAAGTACTCTACACCTGAGAGTGAATCGTGACCTTTTTGTTCGGCCCCCTTCCGGTTTAGGGTATTTAGAGTACTCACAAGTCACAGGATCCTACTGCAGCAGCCATGCATGAAAACATCGTCATTTGTGCGACCGACCTGTCTACCCCTCTACCTTACGTAAGAACTCTGAATACCCCGAGCCTCATGGAATCCAGGGACCAGGCGTGTGGAAGTAAAACACGTCTTTCAAATCTTGAGACCGCAGTTTTCAACTGTTCCTCCGGACTTCTGAAGCATCTTGAGCCCTCACCGGATCAGCTGCGATGACTTCCTCATTACTATCTTGGCAATCCTTATTATTCCTTTTATTTGGTCTTGAAACTGGTGATCCTGATTGTGATCTTCGATTCCCAACATGTGCTGTCCACACAGTCTGTTTTCAAACTTCGTGAGGTGTGGGTGTAGAGTAGAATATGTGTTCCTAGGAAAAACAAATTATTATTCGAAGACCAAAGGAGCACATATAAAATGACTGGCAACTGACGTAGGGATGCTCGAGTTCAATGAGATTCCCCTTTCCCGTTACTACGCTCCTTTCCTCTCATGACAGCCTCACTAAGTTCTTCGACTCATTGCTGCAAAATTGAGCTCTAGTTCTGAGAAACAACTCTTGCAAACAAATGGCCCCCGAAGTCAAGTAGATTCGCCGATCTCCGCATAGGTGACTAGGTATTCGAAAAGGCCAATGGCAGGCACCACTTTTCCCTCTCTCCTTGTGGTGGCTGCCTATCTGGCGCGCTGATCGTCTTTATAGCTGCCATCTAACCCATGCGGTGAGGCGGACGGCAGTTATCTCACCATAACATCGCTTTGTTTTTGTCACAATTTAGCGGCGGCCAGCGGTGTGGGGAACTTCATACCACTCCATATATATATACGTGTACCGCCGCAACCTTTCTTTCTCCCAAATTACCTGCTCGATCGCCGCCGCTACGTTGTTTGCTCGGTTGACCTGGCGTTTTCCCCCCCAGCCCCATGAAAATCTCTGTTTTTCACCGGTTGAGTACCGTGATGATTCATGAGCAGACATTGGGCAATTTCTAAAGCGGAAAAGCTCTATGATTACCCAAACCGAAAACTCGAAATTTGGGAGCCAGCGCGACCGGGTTTCACACGGATAGGATTAGTGCGAGCCCTAGCCCTACGTATCAACTTGAGCTCTATGTACCTACTCTGGCAGGATCCTACATAGGACCGCCCCACCAAAACCGACATTTAACAAACTACCTTTTGAGGAGGCGATCTTCTATTCGTGGCGGCTGTCTAGAGTGTCGTTGCCCAGTCTGGTGTTCTAGTGCCCGTTGGTATCCCGGGTTCTGCAAATCTTACCTGCCGTCGGGGCCGGAATGGGTGGAGCTGGAATATGGCGTGCATGGCGGCTCACGAGTAGTAGATTTGTTAACACCTATTTGGGGTATAAGGCATATCAAGGCTGGATTAAAGAAGTGCATAACCATATTTATTTACCCCATAAGTTATGGATACTGATCCTGATCCACCAAGATCTCTAATGTGGGTACTGTACCCATGACAGTGGTACGGACATCCGTTTTCCATGCATACATGTGGTATGTCTGTTTATTAGTGTTTTTATCAAATTTCAAAGGTACATATATACATATATTACAAGTACCTATTCCATGTTTAGCCTCAGTCATTTCAAGCATCATAACGAGATTACATGTAGTTGAAGTCGCCATCATTAACTCCCTTGTGTGGTCCTTGATTCTCGGAGGGTCAGGCTACGACAGTCTGTTAATTCAAACAACTACATGTATACATGTAGCTAGAGTAAGAACCCGTATGATCACTACATGTACATACATGTACCCATGAGCGTTAGTGACCCTACCGAACCCTCTAGCTACTTGTCATGAGCCCCGTCAGTCACCATTGCCGGCCCGGAGCCTTAACCCACAAGGCTTTCATGACTTCTATGTCCAGAAGATCCTTCCAAGGCTGCTCGTTCGTGACTTGATAAAAAAGAAAAGAGAGGGGCATGATTAGACCTAAACAATACGAGCGTTTTTTGGCCCTCGGCTGGAGCAGGAATATAACCTGAACAGCATCGACTGTAGCTGCGCTGAGCATACATACATGTACATACTTGTACGGTATTGTTATATGTATTGTACATGTACAGTCGCACCTCGCTATCTCGTAATTCGATATCTCGGATCTCTTGCTGTCTCGTACGGATTTGCGGGACAGGTACTGCCCTTCTCCACCAAAAACTATTTGCTGTCTCGTATATTTGCTATCTCGTAGGGGTTTGGCTTCTAGAATACGCTAACGACATAACGAAGTGCAACTGTATGTATATCTGTCACTTGACCAACACAAAGATCGATCACAGGAAGCCATAAACTGCCCCGTGCGCTTAAAGTTCATGGCTCAAACAGCTACATGTAGGGCTTCCATGTATTCACCAATACCCGATAGCTAACAGGAAGAAAAAGAAAAGCTTCTCAAACTTGGCCAATCACAAGCTTTGAAATAAACATTGCATACTCGGTGTTGGTATATCTATATAATACATGTAGGTACTATATGAAGTACTTAAGCTTACTAGATGTAATCGCTTAATCTGTGGCCATGGATTTTTTATATCCATTGAAAATATATACATGTACATACATAATGAGTACCCATGACGCGTACGCAGCCCAAGGCAGTACGGGAGTCTACATAGCTACAAGGCAAAGGCAAAGGCAACCATGCTCGAGGAGATTACATGTAGTAAGTACATGTACGTTTTCCTGACCGATCTCAAGCAGTTCAATATTTGCGCAATCATCCTAGTGTTATTAGTACATGTAAATCCAAACGTCCGAGTACATGTACGTGGTTCTCATAAAGCACGCTTAATTTCTGAAAATGTATACGTAGCTGATAAACTATGAGGATATATATACTACGTCGTACATATTAATATATATTATCTGCTTGCATAAAGGCCTACAGCTACTACTGACAGCTGCCTCTAGGGAAAGATGTCATTTCCAACCTACCCTTCAATATCCATGTAGTCTGTATTTCTCTCAAACACCTTAAGCACCTCAGGGAATCGTCTTACTTTACTCGAGCAGGGCAATTACAAGTAATTAATGCATACA